AAAGTTCAGAGAACTGGAGATTTTTCGTACAAACTACGTACTTAGCCCGTACTTAGTTTATTGGCAAAAATAAAGACAGTAGAGTGAGCTCGGTACGTAGTTAATGGGAAAAAAATCAAGACAGTCGAGTGTCCTTTTTTTTACTTTCTTTGTTTCTTGTTTCGTTTTCTATTGGCAAGTGATTATCTAGGAACTTGTAAATTTTTTAGTTTTTTCATCGTATCTCCCGAACTATCAAATTCAGAAAAAAATGTTATGAGGATTTTTTGTGGATTTTATCAAAAGGAATAATTTTGGTTCTATAACATTTTCAGATATTTTCAGTTGTTTTCGAGATATTTGGAATTATCTGAGAATAAAATTTTCAACACTTTTGTTCAATCTTCCAATCAACAAAATGAAAAAATATTCCATGCCTCAGTGGAGGTAGATGAGCTTCATCTATCGATAATCTATGTTTTTCAATATATCTTCATAGTACCCTATGGGTCGTTAAATTTTTTTTTTTCATATTTTTCACTTTATTTCCTGTACTATTGGGTTTACAGAAAAAATTATGGAAAATGATTTGTAGGGAATGTTCCAGTGGATAACATTGCACTCTTGATAATTTTCGATTTTTCCATTTGTTTTCGATATATATTGAATTAAAAGGATTTCAAATTTTGATGTTTGGGTTTTCATTTGTTTTTCCAGTTTCCGATGGATGCACGAAAAAATGATCGAATGATAATTTGTTGCGTCATCAAAGAGGCATACGGTGCATTTCTCAAATTTGGATTTAGTCTATTTGTTCACGAGATATGTCGTTTTAAAGCGAACCGTGTTTTTCGGAAAATCTCCTTGAAAAACCCACTTGGAATTTTCCGACCCTGCTCAATTTCAATAGGCTTCGTCTCTTCCTGATAGAGGTTTTTTTCACAAAAAATGAAATCGATCGGACCACTTTTGCGATTTGTAGAGTGATTACAAGGAACTTCCGGTGAAAAATCGAAAAAACCCGGAAAAACCACCTTAGAGTTTTCCGATTTCCTTCATATTTTAATGACATAATATTGTTTTGAGTACAATAAGATGGCAAAATTTCAAGTCGATATGTCGAAGGGTTCCGGAGATATATCGATTTATGATTAACACAGAGTACAGACAGACAGACAGACAGACCACACACAAAAACCAAAGTTGCTCAAAATTCGATGGGGATCATTTTCTCCAAAGCAACTATACCTCTATCTCGCTTAGTTTCCGAGATAGCATTTTTGGCACGGCCGTAGTATACTCCACTATGTATAGCGTCGTATAACAAGTCACTTCAACTCTTCATGCAAATGGTAAGTTCCTGAATTAATAACTATGACACCCGTCGTGATAGGAAACTGAATTTTCAAGACAGCGTTGAGGAGCGAATGATGAATATATTGAAAAATAATAAGGGAATTTCACCGAGTTAATCATGAATAACAGGGTGATTTCAAAAAACACGATTTTTTATCATTTTCATCATCGAAAATCTTCATGATCACCCTATATATCTCAACGAAATCATGTTCATACGGTATCAGCTATCTTGGGAGGTTAACAATTCACTCGAATATACAGGATGTGTATGAATAAATCGGTCTTAGGTGTCACCAATTTTTCAAATCACCCTGTATGAAATGTATGAATTGTGATTCATGATGGAATGAGAATAGTATATTGCATGCCTAAATTATTTTTTCGATATTTCATTATTACATCGAATTTTCAGACATCACTGAAATGTTTATATGTTTCACTCTGTAAACAATTACATCATCTGAACCATCTGAATTATGTTGAGTAATATGGAGGTTCGTTAATGATATGAGCGAAGAAAATTGTACTTGGCATCTTTGAATTTCGAGAAAATAATTAAATGAAAAATACCGATTTGTAACTTCAACGCCCTGTATCTCAGAATCTGTTCATCAAAGAACTTTACGATTCTACAGGTTCAATCAGTTCATCGAATTCTACAACATACTGAAAATTCAGAAAATTTCACCGAGAACCATTTTACGTACTAAAAGTGCGGGGTCCTTTCATCGGTGCAGAGCGAGAAATGAAAGAATGGATACAGACATGGGACCAAACTCATCTCACGGACTTTCTATCTACTAAGGGCATAATTTGGAAATTCAATCCACCTCTAGCAGATCACATGGGTGCGGAATTTGGGAGCGGATGATCCGCTCAGTGAAAACTACCCTCAAAGTAACATTGACTTCCGTGAATTCTAAAGAAGAAGTATTGTTAACATTGCTCCTAGAAGTTGAATATATGGGGAACTCTAGACCGCTAACTCATATTTCTGTGGACCATGCATATGATAGTGATGAGAGGGTCGGTCGTACGCAATGGAGGAATGCTCAAACATTGGCAAAATTCTATTGGAGGCGATGGATCAGGATATCGACCAACGTTAGTTCAACGTCCGAAATGGCATTCAAAAACGGAACAGATAAAGATTGGCGACATCTAGACCAATGCTGAAGGCTTTGAAAACGGTAAAATGTGTATAAAAATCATAGTAGGATGAAACTCATTGAAAAAGAGAGAATATAACAAAGATAAAAGTTTATCTTGATTTCCAGCAAAACTACGAGCTTTATGGAAGAAAGTTGAATAGCAAACTTGTAGGTAATAAAGAGACCTACAACTTTTGTGATCACACTTTTTTCACATAACCCTCAAAATTTATGTGAAAATTCAAATAATCAAGTTTTTGGTTTTTTATTTTTATCTAATGCAAAAAGAATTTTTTATCCACGAAATTTGGTCAAAACTTACATTTTCATGTCCTTAAGACACTGTAATTCTTTTGATTCGGAATATTTATTTTTTCACCTTATATTGACTGAATATCGAAAAAACACCCTATAATTTTCAATCGAAAATTCTCGCGTCAAAATATTAGCTTTTTTGAAAAACTCGGGGCGTTTTTTGTTCGTTGAAATCTCTTCTTTATGATAATTTAAGAAAATATATACATTACTATGGTAAATGTTCTCAGAAAATGCAAAAAGAAAAAAAAATCGAATCCGAAATTTTTTAACCACTTTGTACAATTTTGAGTTATTTTGTAGAATTTTCACTTTAATGACTTGAAAAACGTAAGATTCTATGTTACATTGAGAAACAAAAAAATGCAAAAATCTATAAATCATAAAGATTGCAAGAAACATGCGAAAATAGTTGTTCTAAATATTAAAGATGGGATTTGAAGGGGATATTTCAATAAAAAAATGTGATTGCTGCAATTTTTGTTAGTCAAAAAGTTGATTTATTGAATTCTAATTACATTTATGTCATAGAAAATCTCATAATATATGAATAGAAATGTAAATCGTACTATATATTGGATTTAGATACTTTATAGTGATTATTATTATTCATAATAATATTTTTAAACGCATAATTGAAGTGTAAATTTCACTAAATAGCTCAAAATTGTACATAGTGATTGAAAGAAAATTCGGATACGAGTTTTTTTCTTCTCATTGCATTTCTGAGAACATTTACTATTGTAATTTATATATTTTTTCACATTATCAGAAAGAATATATTTCAAGGAACAAAAAACGCCCTGGGTTTTTATAAAAAGCTGATATTTTGACGTGAGAATTTTTGATTAAAATCAGGATGCTTTTTGAAAAAATTACAGTGTCTTTGGGACATAAAACGGTGAGTTTTCACCAAATTCCGTGAAAAAAATTTTTTTTTGCATAAGATAAAAATAAAAAAACCAAAAACTTGATTTTTTGAATTTTTCACATTTTGGGGTTATGTGAAAAAAGTGTGATCACAAAAGTTGTAGGTCTCTTTATTACCTACAACTTTGTCATTCAATATTTCTCCGTAGGACTGGTTTTGCCGGAAATCGAGATACATCGTTTTTTTCCCTTAAAACTCACCCCTTCCACTTCCCGACCTCAGATTGCCCGTAAATTGTTTTGGCTTTCATCTTTGTTATATTCTCGTCCTTTTTCAACGGGTTTCATCTTACTATTATTTTTTTTTGTTTAAAAAATTATCGACCTAATCGTTGATATTGTTGACGAAAAAATCAGCAAGAAATCAATGGCTATTACGTTAGGTCGCGTAGTACAAATATTTTCTGGCAAAAACCAAATTGTCAGAGCCGCTCAAGTGAAGACAAAAAAACGGAAATTGCACTAGACCAGCCACCAAGCTGTGCATATTGCCTACATCTGAGGATTGATTGGTGGTAAATCTCTTCACCGAGGGGAGAATGTTGAATTTAGTTCAATATCACCCTGTTTTTGATGATAACTTATGCCATAGTTCAATTCATGTGACAATGGGCTTATATCACAAAAAAATTTTATTCCATAATTCGATAGAACTCACCCAAACTAGCTCACCACCGCAAACCGTTTCTTGCTGTGAGCTCCCTACGTTTTATAAAAAATTATTGAAATCCCCGATTTGTCGGACCTCTGAAAACGTGGCGATGATGTGACGTCAAAACCCTAATTCTGAAACAAGACTATTCCAGACAGAGATGGATGATACATGATTTCTGACAGAGTGAATTAGCGCGAGATCACAGTTGAAAGAATTAATATATCAGTTGCCTCAGTCTCCGTCGGGCGTTTTGTATTTTCTTTCAACTATGGCGAGATGAGGTTTCTACGTCATGAGAGGGTCCGTTTTCAGAAGGTACTATAATTTATGTCCAAAAATAAGACATTTCAGCTAATTTTTCGATCGAATTATTTCGTCAATCATTATTTATGTATGAAAGGATCATTATAAACATGGTTGGAGTTAAAAGTTCTACTAAGGTGTACACGCCCATTTGTCAGAAAAATAAAAAGATAGTTTTTCACATATTTTATTGAATTGTGTGCCGTTATTTGCCTATAAATATCGTTTTACAACTCTTGTTATGTGATATAATAGGTAAAAGAGATAGTAGGAGTGGAAATAATAATCTCTTGTCTGCCAGGTTGTTTGAAGTTAATTTATGGATATGGAGTTTACCTATGTACAATATGCTGTATATAACCTACTTAGAGATATACGATACAGAACATCACTATATATACCTATATAGAAGACCAATATTGATTCTGGACGCCTAATAGTCGGCAGCTGTATTGGCCAAATAATCTCTCCTCCCAATATTGGATGCTTGCTTAGTCTGGATTGCTTCCAATTTAGGACAATCTGTAATTCTGTGTCCCAAACCACCACAATAACTACATCCGTGTTCACCTTCAACAAAATATAATTGTTGGAAAAAACCATTTAGAGAGATCAAACCGAAAAACAAGATCAGTTCCGGCAATTTTTTGCAAATAAATCCCGCAAAAAATATCATGATGTCTGTGGTGGTATTTTTCTTCACATTACCGAATTCGACACAAAATCGAACTTGTGTATCCATTGGAAAAAAAAAATGATAGAAATAATCTGAAATTTTCATTACCTCCCAATTCCAGGTACTTCTCACTTTCTGAACAAAGTTCAGCAAGAAAATTGGGAACTTTCTGCTTCGCTTCCATTAAAAGATGTTTCAGATCCAACAGAACTGATTCATCATTGGATTTGTTGATGAATGTAGTCGCCAAACCCTTATTACCAGATCTACCTGTACGCCCAATACGATGCACTGTAAAAATAAAAAGAAATTGCAATCAATATCCTTTAACATTTAACAAAACAAAATCGGAATGGTTGTGGTAATAATTCAATAGGTATAGTCCAGCCGCCACTTAGACAGTACAAATTTCGTTCTTTCTCCGAATGCACACTTTTTGTTTCCAAAACTACCCCAATTGAACACACTTTGGAAGTTGACATGGGCGTACCAAAATATTTCAATATGGCCAAGAACAAACGAATGAATAAACAATGGAGTAATACCACCTAACAAGAGCAAAAACGGATGAAATTCAAATACAGTTATCATCAACTTTACATAGCACCGCCTACAATAGTGATTAGAGAGGTTGTGAATATCGCATATTAGAATAGCATTTAGAGGGGTGGACCAATGATACTTTTCAAATAACTGCTGCACTTCTAATAGACGTTATCTTTCTCTCTACATACCATCATATCTAAGTATCAGCTGGTCTCTAAACCCAATAAGTACACATCAATAATTTGTAGTTCCATTTAACACTGAAATATAACTTCTGTGAAAGTTTAAAACGTAGTGCTATTTTTTCCCCATTTTTTATTTCAAACGCTAAAATGATTGGCCTATGATGAAATTTAAATACAGTTATCATTAACTTTAACTAACATCGCTTCATGAATATACATGATACGTCCCTGGCGCGCTTTCTTCGGATTTATTCATGTCAAGAAATAGACATAGTTATGCATGATACTATAGTGATTAGAGAGGTTGTGAATATCGCATACGAGAAAAGCATTGAGAGGGGTAGACCAATGATACTTTTCAAATGCTGCTGCACTTCTAATAGGCTTTTTCTTTCTCTCTACATACCATCATATCTAAATATCAGCTGGGCTATAAGCCCAATACACATACAAACATTTGAGGAAAATAATAAAAAGGTACTTTTACTTTTGAAATAAACTGCTCAACACATGAAACGTAAAATCGCATTTTTTGGATCAAATTTGAATCGTCACAAAATTCGACTCTTTTTCAGTTTCTGAATGCTTGTTTCATTGAATATAGAATTTATAGACATGATTATTGCGTCTCTTCAGAATGAGATTCTACAGGATGATTCAAAGATGTGCAATTTTCCAAAAATTTCGAAGGCCTCCCGTTTCAAAGATTTTTTTTTAATTTTATTCATTTTTCAGTGGTGTGATCCTAAAACAGATTCCGTAGCAGCTTGACATGGTGAGGACAACTTCTTCTACACGCTTTGATCGCCAGAAATATTCTCAACCGGTTTCGTCATATAAGAATGCTTGGAATTTTTTTTTCCTCAAAACAAGAATTTAATTTTTTCATTACTTGATGACATAATTGTTATTTATAGACCACCCTGAATACAAGAATACGATGATCATGCATCATTTCAAAATTTTTGACCACCGTTTGAACCAGAATGACAGGAACACAAAGCCAATAGAAAATGAAGTTTTATATTCATCAACTTACATGTTCAAAAACAGAAATGATAATCAATTAAAAAAATCACCTATGATATAAGAAAAAATAACGAAACATTGAAATATAAATTTAATAAAACAATTGGACAAATTATAAATATTTGATTCCTTATTTGTATGATGAAATTCCGGGTGGTAAAGAAGTCAAATCCTTTTATAGCTACAAAACTAAAATAAAAAACTGGGTATTAGTCTCTTCAAGGAGTTTATTTGCTTCCCTGGTTGATATATAATATCTATTTATAAGAAATTTGGAATAGTACTGAATTGTACTTATTCCCAATAATTGAATGAGAAACAATACATTTCTATTTGTGAATTACTTCTGTCTCGAATTAATCAATTGATTTAATAACCATAATTTTTATTTTATATACCTAACAAGTTATACTTCCTAAGTTTTTCTTTGTTTAATTTTCATTTCGTCAACATTTTGAATAAACTTTATTATTATTATTATTGAATTATGCCATCTCTTATAAAAAGAGATTTTACGTTTCATGTGTTTAGCACTTTCTTATGCAGGGTGTTTCGAGTGATGATGACAGGAAGCCGAAAAACCCGAAAACAAGAAGATGCAGGTAATAACTGACGATGACGAGGACCATACGAGGACGAAAAACATACAATGTTGCCACCGCCGTACATTTGTAGTTTCTCGTACTCTTGCATACATCCAAGCAATAACAGATTGGATTTCAGAGTGTTTTTTTCAATGGAACAATTTCTTTCTCGTATGTAAATGTCTAATATTAATATTATATTTTGAAAATAGATTACCATAGTTTTCAACATCATCAGGCATATCATAATTGATAACATGTTGGATGTCCGGAAAATCTAACCCTTTGGAAGCTACATCTGTTGCCACAAGCACGTCTTTTTCTTGTTTCCTAAATGCTTCCACAGATCTGGAACGTTCTTCTTGATCTATCATCAGAATAAACTCAAATTCATTCAATTTAACATCCTTAATGATTTAGATACAATTATAAACTCTTGCAATGAATTACCATTTTAAGTGAATATTTGATTAAATACCTTTTCCTCCATGAATTGCAACTGCTTCTACACCTTTAAGAAGAAGATATTCGTGAATAGCATCAACATCTTGCTTTTTTTCAGCAAATATCAAAACAGGTGGTGTAGTTTTTTGCAAGCACTCCAATAAATATACTATTTTGGCTTCTTGTTTAACATATTCAACTTCCTGAAATTGAAAATAATATTCCATTGCAAACAAGATCTGATACATGTCCAAATATCATCCGTTTTACAAAAAAAATCTAATTGTACATAATGAAATCTAAGGAAACAACTGCATAATAATTCGGTCCTGTTCACAAACCTGTTCTACGTTCATAGAAGCAGCTCCTGCCCTACCAACATTTATTGTAATTGGTTTAACCAATGCTGATCTTGCAAAGTTCTGAATTTTTTTCGGCATAGTAGCAGAAAACAATAATGTCTGTCTTTGACCCTAAAAAAAACATGTAAATTTTGCTCTAGTGAAAATTGAACTATATGTATCGGAGATTGAAACTGAACTCACGTTAAAATAAGAAAAAATTGTTCTGACGTCCTCTTCAAAGCCCAAATCTATCATTCTGTCAGCTTCGTCCATACAAAGATACCTGCATACTGACAATTTGACGATCTTCTTCTCTAACATGTCCATGAGTCGTCCAGGTGTCGCTACCATAATATGAACACCCCTATATAATTCGTTTAATGTTAATGTTGTATTCAATGAAGTTGTACATACATGCGTTTTAAATTATAAGCATCGAATTTGAGGTGTTCCTCAAGGAACAGCAGTAGATCCAATTCTTTTCAACAATTATATTAATGACTATTTTCCACCACCTTGGCTGATGCGTCCAGATATAATCTGTGCATAAATGTCAATAAATAACTATTTATTAATTTAATGTTAACAAAAAAGAAATATTGATTGACTCATTACCTCCTATATACTTAAGACAAATTAACAATAATTGTTAACAGAAACTCCTGGACAGATACAATTTCCAATGTTTAACTTGCTGTAGTGATGTAGCCAAACATATTTTTCGAAAATATAATTTTATATAGATATTATTTTTGAAAATCGTATATTGAATGTCAGTCAATTATTCTAGATAGCGTCAGCAAATTTTTTCGGTCAAAGGGAATGACACTAGACTATGCAAGAGAAAATTGTGAGTGTGATTGGAAATCAAAAGATACTTATATGAGCATCTTAGTTTTTTGCCCAAATACATCAAATTCCCAATTTTTTTCACATTCTGAAGTGAATATAATTGAAAAGATGTTCAATTTCGGAATGAAGTTTTACTACTCCTATATCCGTAGCTTTTGCATAGAAAATAACAAAGCAACCCTTATATTCATTCCATGGCCATATTTCAAGGATATATGGAGATTTTTTTTTCAAATTTGTTCCATAATAATTCATGAACAGTTCTGACAATAAATTTAATGAACAATTTACCATGGTTATACAGAAAATTCTTGTTTGCACTGGAAAATATTTTGCGTCATAAAGAATTTTGTGAGGTTTAGTATTTTCTAAAGGATGTCAGTTTCATAATCGTAACTAAGCAAAACAAAACAATCTTCTAATAGGTCCTGGTCCAGTCATCCTCATGGGTATGTTATTATACCTTTGAAGTACTCCTATAGTATTATCATGAATCAAATTTCTGTCATACCCAGTACAAATTTTATGTGGGCAAATTATTGATTCTATTTTAAACATACTTGTTAAATTATTGTTAGTTAGTTGGGTAGTTTGAGTACCCTCGAGAGTACCCAAGTAAGTTTGGGGGTCACAATGGGGGAGTGATTATGAAAATCAGTAAGTAAGTCACATGTTCTTTTTATACCCATTATGTAACGTCAGTTGGAAGGCATTCATTCTAAGTAGCTGAATAACATGTTATCATATAACACAATTATGCAGTAGATTATAATCTATGATCTATGCTACGAAAAAAGTGAGACAATGCATAAGCAAGTCAGCTGCCACTATGACCTACTATTATCTTCTCAAAAATACCCTCGGGTATGGAATAAGAATCTGGTGCTCCTCAGCTTCCTAAATACATCTATATGAACTTTTTCTGGCACGAAAGCATGCTATTAGGAATATATTGAATGTGAAAAGAGAAGTCTCCAGTAAACCACTGTTGATGAAACTCCAATTAATGGCACTCTACTCTCTAATTGTATATGAGAAATTAGTAGAAGTGAAGAGCAACTTCGATACTTATAAGGTACACTCTGATGTTCACTGGCACAACTCCAGGAAAAATAACAATCTGATACTGCCCCTCACATGCTTAAGAAGATGTGTTGATATAGGTGTCAAGCTCATTAATTCCTTGTACTCTGATTTTCGTGACATGAGAATAGACTTGTTCAAATCAAAGTTGAAATATCTTTCAACACCGAATCTTCTTCAAAATGTTCTGAAACCTTTTCCTATTTATAATTTTATCATCTACTCATTCATTCATCTATCATTTATTCATTCATCATAATTGATGTATCCATATTTTTTGCAGTCTACTTGCTGTCTTGAAAGGAAAACAAAGTGAATTTGAAATATCTGTTCTTACTTTCTTTACCTTAGCTAGTCAGTCGTGAACCATCCTAGTCGCGACAGTATACTTTGCGTTCAATAACTATATTCGCGGGAATCAATGTCACCAGGTGGCGCTCGGTTTTCATCGTTCCATGTCAAAGCCACGTCAAAACTGGGGGAAAACAAACTCAATCCTCACTCAATCCCATTAGTGCCATTAGCTTGTGTACTGTGTACTGATAAGAGTGATAAGTTAGAAGTACAACTCCAAAGGCTGTATCTTGCTCCTGCACGCGATATCGGACTGCGACACCACATCTAACATTTTTGGGTCCGGAAAGAATAAATTCTGCAAACTTTTTAGGAAAGACCCATCATTGCTGGAGCAAGCGGAGAGGTTCGAGGGCCCTGCTGCAGTAAAGAACAATCGTTGAGCTCCCTTCACTATAGCAGATTGATTTCTTGACATTAATTGTCAATATTCGATCGAAAACGCTAGTAGTGGAAGGAGAAGCAGTTCTCCGTGCTAATCATGTGCTTTTGTGTGAGGCAGAAGACTTCAACAAAAGGCTCATTTTTGCACTTTGTCTACAAACTTCGGCGATGAAATCTTCCCCACATGAAGTAAAATTGAGGTTGAGGTCCAGAGGAACTCCTGTAGAACAATGAATTTGTATTTGTTCTTGCCAAGCAGGATAATCTGGGTATTGTGAACATGTAGCTGTTCTTTTATATGTCAATTGATTTGCTCGTCATAATTAGTTTGATTGGTTTGAACTATCTCCAATTCTTCACCCGTTCACTGTTCACTAAACTAATAAAAATGTAATAATGTAAAAAAATTTAACCAACTCAACCATCATCACTACCAACAGTGCCAACACTTTATGTCATTGACAAGTTTGGAAGTTTGACAACTACAGCTACAGCAAGCTGTATGCAATGTAGTCTATGCACTTTATCCATAGACATTGTTTTCCCCCAGTTTGAAGTTTGTATTATGTAACCTAGATGTCGCCAACTTCGTGAATCTCGCGAATATTGCTATAATACATATAATATTTGAATCCTTGTCATATACTTTCACTCAAATGTAGAAAACCTTGTAAATTATTGGCATGCTTCAAAAAATATACTTTCTAATCGTTCAAGGAACGAAATGTACCTATTCAAAGTATTCATAGATTCTAATTAAGCACAAATATTTAGACGTTTCCATACATATCAGATACCATATATTATAAAGTATTAAACCCAAGGTACTATAATAGGATAGGAAGGATAATCGAACATTATTACCATAATTATCGATGCTATCAAGATAAAATGTTTTATATCTTACCTTTGAATGATCTCTATCGCTTCAGTAACAGGTACCCCGCCAATAGACAAACAGCTTCTTATTTCAGGCATTCCATGCTTGCGTAAACTATCAGTGAAATGCTGTATAATGTCATAGGTCTGCTTGGCCAATTCTCTAGAAGGGCAGATAATGAGTCCGTAAGGGCCTTCATTCTTTATAAAGGGCAGTTTAATTTCCTGTTCCAAGCAAAACATCACTAATGGTAAAACAAAGACTAGTGTTTTACCAGACCCGGTGAACGCTATTCCAATCATGTCTCTTCCCGATAATCTGAAAAAATGAAGAAATTCTGATGGGTACACAATGGAACTTTCAAAACTTTCAAAAGTGCCTACTCCTTAAATAATTAAATGATTATTCTTGACGACTGATAAGATGACTAATGAAAAATACGCCAGAAGAACTAGTCATGTTAATGCCATCTGGAGTACTGAAGTTATGGCAATGTGTGAACCGTACACCGGCGTTTTGACCACCACATAGATTACTAACTATGTGGACCGCTAATCCTATAAGATCAAAGCTCATTCAATTACGAGATCGTACTTGGTTCCATGGAGAGTGCGCATTCGTGACCTGTCATATATCTCACTCACTCTTACTTATGTTTCTCGAGACCAAGAAACATGACTCGATGTCATGAATTACAGTTTGAGAGCTTCTGCGCATTGAGCGAGATATTCAGGTTGCTGTTATATGACATCTAGCGGTCTAGATAGTAATTCTTTCAGTGGTTTTGACTAAGAATTCGGTAAACAGATAAGAACTTTTTTGAGCAGGTTGAATTTTCATTGACATATATATATATATATATATATATATATATAGGTACTAATATAACTTTGTGACTTCCATTGCATTGAACAGGCGGACCGACCTCCACTGTTTCTGATCCTATATATGACAACATATTTGCATATTTATCAATAGGGGAATATATATTACCAAGTTTTCTAGAGAGGGGTAAGCATTTCCTTTTTTTTATTCATTCATATATATCGTACGAAGTGACTTCCAATTCATATATTCAAATTAATCATAGCTAGGCCGTTATAGACTCCGACCTCTAAGCCAGATATTCGGTGGTCACATCGATGATTCAAAGGAATACCTATAATAGTGTGAATTATCAAGACAATAATTGTGTTAATGAACTTTCTGAGAGCTCCGCGAATGTATTTATTTCTAGTTCAGTACTTCATTAAGTTCGAATACCGAATAAATTAGAACTCATAAATAATATGTTTATTTCTGAATAAGTACAAACATTACAAATAATTCATTTATGACTTCGCATCAAATGCTGTAACATTGATTTCACAACTGTAGGATCTCTAGAAATTCCATTATCTGATCTCGATGAATGATCCGAATTTACTTCTGAGTAAACTAATTTCCTTCGCAGTCCATCCTGAAATGCAACAAGATGATTTCGATAAATTATTCAGAAATTATCGATGTATTTTCTGAATCTTGAAAGAATCAGCATACTGAATGAAGGATAATATACAGAAGAAGACAGAATCATTTGCTGGTCTATGGGTTGTTTCACTTTTGATCTGCCAAACTTCAAGAGGTCCGCAATCGCTTCGTTTTCCTTTTACAGGGTGTTGATATTAAAAAAATTTATCTTTTTTTCATTATTCGACATTTATTTGGGATTTTCTCTCCTCGTTTCTATAAAATGAAAATATGAATATCAATTCAATATACGTGTAGTAAGGACAAATCAGATGATTAGCCCCAAATTGTCACTGCGTTTAAAGAATTTTTCTATCAGAGAGCCTAAAAGGAAAATTCACTAGCTTGTCAGAGACAATTTGTATTAAAAAAAGTTTAGAGAAGAGAAATAAAATTTTCGTGTGACAATTGGTGACGTTGGCAATCAAATGAGTTACAGGATGTCTTCATAAATTAATCTTGAATTCACCATTATCATGTTCAGATTTCAGTAGTGAATACCATGTTCTGTCTATATCAACTGAACAAGAAGCAATGCTATTGCCTTCGTTATCTTCTTTTCCAATGATTTCAATATTATTCCACTCTGCCATATATTGTTCATCTTAATATACTCTGCCATATATTGTCCATCTTGATAATATTGAAATCATTTGAAAAAAAGATAACAACCAGAAGAGAAAAATCAAGGAATCTGCTTGCACTCTTCTGAACGAAGGCAATAGCATTGCTTCTTGTTCAGTTGATATAGACAGAACATGGTATTCACTACTGAAATCTGAACATGAAAATGGTTAATTCAAGATTGAATAATGAAAACATCCTGTAACTCATTTCATTGCCAACGTCACCAATTGTCACTGAGAACTAAGAAGTTTCAATACAGATACGATATTGCTATTAAAATGACCATTTTTTATGATGAAAACGGAAGCAGATTTGGTCCCGAAACGTCCAAAGATAAGTGAAAATTCGATATTCCTTCTATTAAACTCTATTTCTCTTCTCCAAACTTTTCTCAATACGAATTGTCACTGACAAGCTAGTGAATTTCACATTTATATGCTCTCTGATAGGAAAATTCTTTCAACGCAGTGACATTTTGAGGCGAATCATCTGATTTGTCCTTACTACACGTATATTGAAATAATATTCATATTTTTATTTTATAGAAACGAAAAGAGAAAATCCCAAGAAAATTTGGAATAATTAATGTTCCACCTCCTCGATTAACCTACAGACAGTATCCAATCTTTTTTTCATGAATATTCCGAAAACCCTCATCCCGATTACCTTGAAACTTGGTTGGAAATCTTTTGTAGTAATTCAATCCGCCTCTCAATGATTTACGATCCCAAATACTGATTTTGAATCGAATCGGATCATAATCTTAAATCACGTTCGCCATCTTAGAGACGCCATTTTGAATTCATACATTTTGACAACAAATTCATAATCTTCGACCTCGTGAATCCCACACACTAATTTCGAATCCAATTAAACATATTTGTAATCCATTTTAATACACTATCATTGCAGAATTGAACTGAAACTGTTATGAATCAAGAACTTCTGGATAATACATATCAAGGTTGAACGAAAAATGGATTGTTCGAATAGCAGAATGATGATGGACATAATAAAATGAAGAAAATGCATCTAGTGTGTTTTTCATCAACGATAGAATATTCGAAACATTTACCCACCTTGTATAATGATTCTCGAGAGTAATTTAATAGTTTCATGAATGATGGTCAAACATATAAACCCCTGGTATAGCGAAATCTAGAAGTTGAAACATTTTCTAAAAGAAAAGCTCCCATTCCAATGTGCTAGAAAGTATATAATAATTTATTTGTATGTTTGACGTAGGTTATTCTGTAAGTTACTAATTCGAAAGCTTGCCGCGCCAAGTTATTTGTTGAAATAGGTACAGGAGCGGCAAGCTTTTGAATATGTCACTCACAGAATGAGCTACGTTACACATCCAAAGAAATTATTTTTCAATTCTTGGCGCATTTCAATAAGAGCTTGTATGTGAGAAGTATTTTTCTCCGACCCCAAAAACTTTCACATACCAATATTGAATCGAATCGGATCATAATCAGAAATCTCCTCTGCCATCTTGGAGTCGCCATTTTGAATATATGAACTTTGACAACAAATTTATAATTTCCGACCCCGAAAACCCCGACATACTTATTTTGAATTGAATCAGACAATAACCACATATCTCGTCGCCATTTTGAATTCATAATAATTTCATTATATTCGAACTTTGGAGACCCTAAGATACTAATTTTAAATCAAATCGGAATATAATCACAAACCATGTCCGCCATCTTGGAGCGGCAATCTTGGATTTATGAATTCTGACAACAAATTCATGATTTACGATCCCAGATACTGATTTTGAATCGAATCGGATCATAATCTTAAATCACGTTCGCCATCTTAGAGACGCCATTTTGAATTCATACATTTTGACAACAAATTCATAATCTTCGACCTCGTGAATCCCACACACTAATTTCGAATCCAATTAAACAATAACTACAAATCTCGTCGCCATATTGGAGCTGCCATTTTGAATTCATGAATTTTGACAATAAATTCATATTCTCGACACCGTACATCCCCAAATCAATTTTGAATCGAATTGATTCATAATAAAAAATCTCTCTGCCACAAATATTATAACCGAATTATTTTTATTACTGTTCATTCCACTACGAATCCAGAAAAAGCAGCAACATTCCAGCAGGCAAATTTTCACATAATACTTGATAAGCAATCTCCCAGTTCATATGGAGAATTTTCCATTAACGATACAATATTCGAAAAATCGAAATCATTATTCTAAACAGAATTCGAATATCCAGGCATGGTGATTAGGATTTGATCATATTGATTGTTGAACGTTCACGAGAAATAATTTGATGAAAGGGAGAATAAAAAATTAATTCAGGGATTTACAGCCTCACTTGTGGGTCGTACCTATGCATCATTTTCATATGAATGCAAACATTTTCGAAAATCTCTGAATACATCGTTATGAACAATATAACCATGTTCCTAGCCACTGAGTGCTAAAAAAAATATCCATAATAAGCCAGGGCAAAAACTAGAAGATAAAAGGTACTCACCTGTCCATGAAGAACCTATAATTCCAATATCAATCAATTGATTCCAACTTACTTCCTTTCGCATCATATAACGCCTTTGCCATATCTACGATTTTCCAACTCTTCTCCATTTTCCGAAATCTCTCAAAACTGAACAAGTCAATAAATTAAACAGATCAGTTCGTCAGCGGAGGTCATAAAGTACTGAGACTGAAAGTTTCACCAGAAGCGAAATCAGCGCCCGCGGGAGATATCGGAACTAAAACCATATATTTGGTGATATTCGTAGGTCGGAGTGACCTCCACCGTTAAATTTGAAGATAGACTGGGACAACCATTCTAATTGCTTCTGCTAAAGAAACTACACGATACGTTGTGACCTCCGCTTTCGGAGGTGATAACGTCATATATGAGGTCTTAACGTACACCCAACATACATTTTAGGAGGTCACTTCGTATAGGATATAGGTATATATATATATATATATATATATATATATATATATATATATATATATATATATATATATATATATATATATATATATATATATATATATATATCCTCTTATCAATGTTGCGTCCATGTATTGACAATTTTCATTTAATCCTGCGTCCATCGCGATAGTGCGACCGTATATCGGACGCAAGATTACAATCCATGTTATTTTCCCGCCAATGCAT